GCTCACACAAGTCGGTGCTGAGGCTACCGCAGGATAAGAGCCGGAAATGTTTTATTGTCATTTCAAGAAAGGTGCAACAGTTTTCTTTGGGGTTTGTTTTTTTTTTAGAGAAAAGAAGAACAGCTGTTCAACACTTGGCAGGCATATCTGGAATAGAAGGAAGTGGGTTTTTGATGCCCCCCCAAAAAAAATCAGAGACAGGGGAGCGTTCGAGGACCCACAGGTGGGAGGGCCGTGTTCACCTCTGGAGGCAAGGCTGGCCTGGCCAGTGGGGGGGGGGGGCAGCTGGCATATTTCTGCCCCAGTCCGCGAGCCCCCTGCCCCTGTGCCGCAATCCTGCGTTGGTGGCTGAGGGGCGGCTGGAAGTCCGGGAGCAGGGCCTCCTGTCGAGGTCAGGCAGGCGTTTGGGATCGGATGACCTCTGCGGATCTAGGAGACGACTGTGGAAGGAAGGGACAGGTTATGGGGCTTGTGGGTCTGGCCAGCGGCCCCTCCCTGCCTCCCGGGAACACCCCAGCCCTCCCCAGCCAGGCAAGGGAACTGCCTCTGCACGTGGAGGTTCCGTCCAGCTCTCAGCTGGTTGGGTCAGTCCCGAGAATCACCAGGGCCCGCCCTCCTTTTCCCAGCTGAGGTGCACCTCTTGGGTCTCTGAGGGCTACAAACGAGCTTCTGTTAGAAGACATGGCTCTGCCGTCTACGGAATCAGGCCCCTCTCTCCATCCAGGTCAGTCTACTCTTGTCTGCTCAGGCCGGCGGTGGCTCCCCAGGGACGCCAGCTGAGGTCCTTCACGTCGCCTCCTGCCTGGTCCCTTTAACTGGAGATGCCGCCCAGGATTTGAACCTGGGACCTCCTGCATGCCAAGCAGAGGCTCTCCCACTGAGTGAGCCGGGGGGCCACCGAAAGTGGCGACTGAGGCGGCCGTGACCTCAGAAGAGGGGCCAGGGAATTGGTGGGAGGTCATTCCTGATTTTCAGTCCATGGGAAATTGCTGAAGATATAATGGGCAATAGGTAAAGGTGTCCCTGGCTCGAAAGCCAGTCGAATCGGACTCTAGGGGGGCGGTGCTCATCTCCGTTTCCAAGCCGAAGAGCCAGCGCTGTCTGAAGACTTCTCTGTGGTCATGTGGCCGGCATGACTAGATGCCAAGGCGCACGGAACGCGGTTACCTTCCCACCAAAGCGGTACTTATTTATCTACCTGCAGTTTCTTGCTTTCGAACTGCTAGGTTGGCAGCAGCTGGGGCCAGAGACGGGAGCTCACTCCGTCACGTGGCACTCGGGTCTCGAACTGCCGAGCTACCGGCCTTCCGGTCTGCAGTTTGGCGTCCGGCCCCTGTAATGGGCCACACCTTCTCACAAAACAAGTGGGGAGTGGCAGCCAGGCCTTGACGTCAACGTTCAGGCTGCGAGAGAGAGATTTGACCCTGTGTGTGGATTGGGGCCCTCTCTCAGTCGCGACTGGCTGACCTCAGTCCAGTCGCCCTCCTTCCACCACTGTTCATTCCGGGGTTGTTTGAAGGATAAAGTGAAAAGGGGACCCTACAATGCCAGGGGTGTGTGTGCTGGACGCTGGGAAAGGCCTTGGAGAGCCCCTGTCCATCAGTGGAGGCAAGAGGGACTTCGATGGACCAAGCCCGTGTGGGAGCCTAAGCAATGTTCCCTCTAAGCTTAGTGTGAGCTAGTTCCTAGTTTTTTAGCCTCCGGCTCACGCACTTTTGTCTCAGCTCGGGAAGGAGGGGCTCCAGAGCAAACTAATTGATGCAGCAGCCCAAACGCTGGCTCACAACTTTAATGCCAGCAACTCACAAGGTAGAATTTTTGCTCACAAGACTCCGCGGCTTAGAGGGAGCATTGGTCCTAAGCAGGGGTCATTTCGTAGAAAAAGAGGTGCAGGAGCTCATTAGCGTCATTAGCAATATGCCACACCCCCTGACATCACTGGAAGTGTGTCAGAAGGCAGCACCCACTGCTCAGGCTCCACTAGAGTGTTTTGGATAGCTAGATATCTGGGCGGGGGGGGATCCTCGTGGCCGGACTGAGGGCTGCTGGGAGCAGGGGGCGGGGCCTGTTGCATGTGCTCCTTACTGCCGGAGCTCCGCTCCTGTGCGCTCCCACAGGAAATGACCCCCGGTCCTAAGGCAGCTTCATGCAGACTGTGGCCTGCAGTCCCCTGAATTCACCGTGCCAGCCCATCGCATCTTTGCCTCAGTTCAAAAGAAAACTCAAGTTTCCAGCCCCAGTGGTTGTCGAAGGGAGTGATAATCGTGGGGGGGGGGCTCCGAAAGGGGCGGGGGCGATGGGTTCAAGACAGCATTTCTGGGGGGGGGGAAGGGGAGAGTTGGGGGCATCCTGGAAGCGCCCAGGTGCCCACTCTTGGGGGGGGGCATGTGGCCCCTCGTTGGTCTGACCCAGCAGGACTCGTTTGGAGGTACCAGCTCAAACCCCGGCGTGAGCGTCTCGCTGCACTTACTGACTGGGGAGGCTGCAGATGGAACCTCCACCTTCGAAAGCAGCCTTTCCCCCGGACTGTGGTCACTGGGTGGGCTGTTACTTCCCCGCCCCCCCTGGTGGGCTTCCCAGAACCATCGGAGGCCCACCTAGACAGCTGCCCCACTGATCCGGGGGAAGCAATTCTTGGGTTGGGGGTGGGGGATCAGTGCCCCCTTTCTGCTTTGACTGACAAGCAAAATAAGTCATGCCAACAAGCCTTGGAGAAGTCCCCCCTGTCCAAAGGCCTTGTTTCCAAAGGTCGGAGAAGACCTACCTGGGGGGTAGTTGTCGCCATCGATGGGAACATAACCTGGGCGTGAGGAGAAGAGGGAGGGGAGTTAGTAAGAGACGTCACAAGTAATCATTATCGCGTGGCATCGTGTGTCGAATTCCCAGGAGAGCCTAAGATTGTCTGGCAGCCACAGGTTCCAGCTCTTTTAGTGTTATGCACCACTAGGTGGCGAGCTAGATTTGCATTTTTTTTAAGGCAAGAGACGCTTCGGAGGTGGTCTGCCCTTGGCCTGGCATTCCTCAGACCCTGAGGCCGACCCTGCTTAGCTTCCGAGATCTGATGGGGGCTGGCCCCCGGGAACGGGCTGCTGGCTTTCGTCAGGCTGAGCCTGCAGATGGTGCCCCGTAACAGATGCAGCAAGGGGGGTTCCGCCAAGAGCCGAAATCCTTGCAAACCTTGGATGGCCCTGTTGTCCTAATCGCCACTAGGTGGCGAGCTAGGCTTTTCAGGGGTGGTTTTGCCCTTGCCTGACTCTGCGTCACAGCCCTGGCATTCCTTGGAGGTCGCCCTTCCAACCCCTAGCCAAGGCCCACCCTGCTTGGCTTCCGAGATCTGGCGGGATCGGGCCGGCCTGGGCTATCCAGGCCGGTGCTCGTAAGAGAGAAGTGCTGGGTGTGCATGCCGGGCGTGGATCGGAAACCCCACCCCACCCCTTTCTGTGGCTGATCCCAACATCCAGCGCAGATGTGCAGGAGGGGAGGAGAGGCCCGCGCCCTGAGTCATGTGCAGAGTGCCAGGAACTGCGCCGCCCCCACACATTCACCCACAGCCCCTCCTGGGATCTTTCCTCTCTCCAACCGGCACCTGGGTGTACGTTTGCACCCATATCGTACCATTCTGCCTTCTGCAAGTATCTACGCATTCGGGGGTTTTTTTAAATCAAGTTTCTAGTCCTGATGAATGCAGTGATGGGTCTGAGGGGCCTGGGGGAATGCACACCTCTGGGGCAGGCAGAAAGGGAAGTGATGACGCAGACTCATCCGGCATACAGGCAGGGACCCCATCCGAGAAAAGGGGTTTGGCCCAGCCTCTTCCTTGACACCCTACTTTTCTACATGCAAGGGTTTTAAAAAAACCCAGAACAGCCCCCCCCCGGAAGAAGCACAGCCCAGTTATCGCTTAGCACCCCCCATCACTGAACAAGGGGGTCTCTCCCTGTGTGCAACACATGACGGAGCCCTCCCCAGTTATGCAAAATGCTTCCCCCACACACACACCCCTCCTCTTACCTTCCGGCACCCGCTTTTTCCAGCAGACGAGGCCAGCGATGAGGAAGATGAGGCCCACCCCCAGCACTGCGCCGGAGGCCCCCACCTTCACCTTGAGCTCCGGGGTCAGGCCTG